GCGCCGGGGCCCACAACAGCCTCGACAGCCATCTTCCCACCTCTACCGTGCGGAATAACCAGAAAGCGGCAGTTTGATGTGGCGTCGCTGCTGGCACCCGACGACGGAGACGATTACAGCAGTTCCAGGAAACTGCCCCGGAGACTACAGCTCGTGGGGCAGGCGTACATTAGCAGCGGCGAGGAAGACGGTGCAGAGGAAGACATCGACGTCGTGACCAGTGACCAGGACGTCGAAGGCAAGGGCAGGAACTCAGAACAACAGGCAGAAGAGTCCACGAGGCTTCAGCAGCAACAGCAGCAAGGCCAAGACCCTTCGGCGTCAATGCAGGCGCCGTTTCTGTCGGCGTGGGGACAACAGCCTCATCACCCCGCGGCAGCTCTGGCGATTCACCAGTCAGTCATGTTCCCCGGTTCGAGCCTCGTCAGCACGATGGAGCAGCAACTGGTGAGTCGGTACTACGAGCAGCTAGCACAGCAACACAGGCTGCTCCAGCAGCAGCAGGCTGCCCCAAGTCTTCCAGAGGGCGCGGCGGACTCGTAAGACACACAGACCGTAGTGTTGGCAGCACGGTTTCATTGTAAATACACTTTGTTCGATGAACTGGTGAAAATGTATTTTATTTATAGATCTTACTTCATTGTTTGTGGCCCACATTTCTCTGGTCATAAATGTTATAAAAAACGTTTTAAAATATCGCAGGAATTAGACATCGTGATTTCAGACAATGTCCGAAGTAACTAGGCTGCAAAATAATGTTTCATCCTACGGCAAGGCATAAAAAGAACACGAAAACAATTCATTACGAAACTTAAAATATTTCTCAGCTATCAGCCTACAGGTTATTATGACCAGTATCTTTAAGATTTTCGCAACAGAAATTAGAAGCCTTCAGGCAGGCTAAATTATTTTAACAAATGAAACTTAGCCTATACGCTACAAACTCTATTAGCCTATAAATTGGTCTTAGATTTAGGTTGTCTAACTTATTGCATTTCTCTGTTATATTTCTTACTCGAAACACTTTCTTAGTAGCAAACGAATTGTAACGCAACCTAATTATAATCCACTTCTGAGTTTTCAATTTGGGATGTGCAACAGGCTTACGTTGTCATGCAACACACGTGTTCTACTTTATTAAAAGGCTGTCAAAATATACTCGTTACATTTAGAAATGAGAGTCAAATTAAATCAGGTTTACAATATAAGAATATACAAAAATTATGTTGAGCTGTACCTATATATTGTTTATTGTTTTAATTAACGAGGTCAAGACAAGTTGTACAGCATTGATAAGCAAGCTTACATAATGTCAGTACCTTACAAAACTGTTTAAGACCTAAATATCCCAAATTTCTAAGCTCAGAAATCTGAATGTTATCGATTTTAACACTGTGATCTATAGGTCATAGTTGTGATGAATTGTAAACATGATGGCATTCGCAACTCACTAGGTCTGTTGTTGATTAACTCAAAAAAAAAATCGACAAAAATTAGTGCCAAGTTCAAAACTGTAAAATACCGCGTCTGTATTGGACGTAACAAATTTAAACTTCGGAATGTAAAACTCGACCAGCAACTAATGTATCCATTCCGGCGGGTTATCTGTAGGAAATGCATCCAGCTCGATCGTTGTTGCTGGCTCATATGTTCCTTATCTGTATTAAATAAAAACTTAACTAGGATCGGATGAGAATAATTCGTGTAAAATAGTTGTTAATATTTCTACATGTTTCAATAACTATATTGTTTCCAGGAAAAACAAATTTATTACCCGTAGTATAGCTTAATGATTTGATTATTTGCATACCATCACTGATAACAAATTGTATTAATTAAATAAACTAACCAGTCCTCCTTGAGAAGCTGACAGTAGTCTACAGTTAAGCCCTGTTCGCGAAGTCCCGCAACACGTCCGAGACCCTACGTAACATTCCCGTACCACGTTGACGAGGTGTTAGCTCTTTGCCCAACTCGCAGCTGCAGGACCCCTCGATTGTCGATTGTCAGCGACTCCTTATTTATTGCATTCGTAGCTATCCTCCATATCTGGAGGCTTATATTACTTCTATCATGTTAATTATTAATTGTTTCAATAGGCCTAATTAACTTCCCCGTAAATGTAGCTTAATATTCCAAAGCCTGAATGTTAATAGAATATCAATGAGGAGCAACGTTAATTGGATGAATGAAACACAAGACCCAGAGCATTTCGATATTTTAGAATCTCTGCTTTCAATATTTAGAGATGGAAAACGAAAATTGTAAGATGAAGTTACTGAAGATGCTTCTGATTTCAGATATTCTATTTAATATTCAAATGTTGCCCAATGTTTTATTAATATATAGACCTATACGGTCATTAGAGAAGCAGGTCTATGTCACATTTAATAAAATACTCAGACATTCGTGTACTGAGCTTCAGTTCCTGAGACCTGTCAGAAACGAAGAATGCAATGCAATATAGGCCTCGACAAACGGCATTACAGCTTTGTGCGTTGGCTCGTAACGGCTTGTCTTGAAACTAGAGAATAATGTTTCAAACACCTGGGCCTGAATAACTAAGAAAAATATATTTTATTATTTTTAAATGCTCATGAAATCTTAAAACGAATTTCTCATTCTTAAAACTTGCTATTTGAAGAAAGAAATTAAATTAGCATATCTAGCTGTGGACTGTTGTAACAGATTAGCCTTATTATTTTTTACATTTAATTCTTCCTTAATATTTCTTTGCAAGCATAAACAAACACGAAATATTCGCTAATGCTTGAAATGTCCATTACTTTTGTTGCCCTAGTTGTGTGATGTAATTACGTCTGAAGCTAGTATAAGTTAAGCTACGTAGGTTTCATTGCAGGGTGTGATGTTAGCTTAGACTATATTATTTTATGACAGTCTTATAATCTTATAAATAATGTATTTTCCAATTACGCCTAAATATTAATTTCAGCGCCGTAAGGCCATCTACAGGTACATAACGTCTAAATGCTATTATATGTTTATAGTGATAAAATCATTTCAAGAATTATACTTGGGCTTACATTTGGGTCTGTTAACATGCTGATTATAATTATAGTTTCGTCCAATAGTACGCAAACGAGCATAGAACTGAGAATAATACATAAAGAACAAGGAAAGTTGGTCATTGACACTTTAATTTCCCAATAAAAGGCACAATCAGAAAAGCCGAGATGTTAATAATGAAACTATGAAACAACGCTAATTTATTGGAATAAACACAGTCAGCCATAAGTAGGCCTGCTTCTATAAGAGTAAACTTTAATAGAGAATCATACAAAAATAACATATTAACAAATATTTGCCAGGAAAGTTTAAAAATTTAATAATAAAACTAGCAATTTCAAAATTGGCTTTAACTATAATTAGGAATAACATGTTATAAACAACACAGTATGTTATGACTATAGACCTTTCAGAAGTTAGATTTATCATGAAGATGGCTCTACAGCGCCGAAACATTTGGGGTAAAAAATAATATTTACTTATAAAAGGAAAATACGCGCTGCTTATGATGGTTATGTAATATTAAGATTACAGGACAAACAACGCTCTTTATGAGCCGGTTAGCTCAATCATTACAGTGACTGCTCACAGGCCGGATGATCGGGATTTGATTCCCGACAGGGACAGGAAATTCTTCTCTCAGTCTCTGCGTTCAGACCGGCTCTGATGCCCACCAATCCTCCTGTCCAATAACCACTCAACTCCATCTCGTGCTAAGACTGGACCTTCATCTTCACTGTTCCATAGGCTACGTCCTCATGGCCTAGTGCTTAATAAGAACCGAGAATAACTTACCTTCGCGTTATATATACTCTTTTTTAGCTGCTACAGGAAAAATGATAAGAATATTAGAAAGTTTTCAACTATAAATAAATTGGGCAGAGCTATAATATGAGATACAGAACTATAAGATGACTGTTTAATAAAACATGGTGGATAATTAATTTGATTCCTTCGGTAGATGTCGGTCTGTCCAGCCATCAGTAACATATTCAGCAACATTACATGCTAGTTCTATTAACATAGGCCCATTACTACTAACACCATAAATATTATTGGCTTCAAATATTTCGTCGCCTTATTACAAATTAAATCATACATTTTCCTCGTGTTTTGCACGCTTAATTATATTTCAATTAAAATAAATTAGAAAGCAACAAATGTTAGTAAACCTTGACTATGATGATCATTAATCCTGATTTCATTCAAAGGCCTTCTCTCTGTTTTAAGTTTTGCGTTATTACTGATTTGCTGCATGTTCATTGCTCCTTACAGGTTAGTGAAGGCGTCTTAAAAAAAAGTTAAGAACCACGTTTAAGTATTCAAGTGTGAAAAAAGATGTCCTGCGATGTTATTAAGAATAATGATAACAGTGAAATAGAAATAACTGGAAAACTTTAAATCCGCGTGCATGGCAGTGCGTAAATCCATCTTAAAACAGAATAAATGACCCATCTCCTACACACACAAAAATGCCCTCATGCTCAAATGTTGATTTCGACCTAGCCTATTCATTCGATGTTTCATCTTTTCAATTTAGAGTCCAGCACGAATGTATACTGTTTGTTCCGAAATTAATTACGTAAAAAGTGTAGACCTATGTTATGAACTTCATTATTCTGCAGATTATGTGTAGGCCTAATATATAATTATAATATTCTGCACAGACCTATAGCTCTACTCTGTATATTTCAAAGACATGAACATGTTTTACCCACACTGAGCATTTCAAATTGTGACTACCTCCCAATTCCTGATAAATATCTGGTGATCGAATCTTGATCGTTCAATTGAGAGGCGTGATCGATACTGAGTGTTATTCATTTTCTCGTCTTCGTTTCACAAATCTCTTCTATTCTTGTAGGGATAAGCGATTCCATAGAAATGTCACAGGCTGTTAATAATCGAAAGTCTTTTTATAAACTTTATTCACTACGGCGATATGAAATGTCTTTTGGTATAATGGATAAAACTTTCCCTTACAGACAATGGAAATAATTAAATCAGGCAAACATTTTTTGAAATAAGCTATCTTATAATAGGCGTAGGTCCTATAAAGATTTTGGGCTTTCATAACAGTACGTTTTATAAACTATTTAATTTCTCGAAAGGCAAAGTTGTCGAGAATTGATTGACTGGTTCAACAGTCGACTAGTTCTTAAACTGTCTTGTTATTCTTTTATCTTTAGGCCTAACGTTAGTAGTATCTTTCGGTAATTTATGGACTTCTATTTTGTTATAACACGTAACTTGTAATCGGGAGTTCGTAGTAGCCTACTAGATACAGAAAATAGAATCCGTGTGGAGCTATATTTGTCCGAAAAATAGAATTATGAACTTAACCTTGACTGACAACAAAGGCCGCTCATGACTACAGATAATCTGAAATTTTCTCTTTCCTGCACAGCAAATTATTCTGAAAGTCTACATCATCTGCCACCAATAGCATAGCTGAGACTTGATAGACCCAAACTAAAACAGTACAATGGAAGACGACAGTCCGGAATACTGTGCTT